TGTCTCCTCATAACATTTTGTCTCTTTGTTTTTCCAGTCTGACATACGTGCATTCACCAGTGAAGTTGTCCTGGCTAAAACACCTGGCAGCAGCATCTACCTGGGCATCAACCTTCATCCCGTCGACTCCCCTAGGCTCCAGTACAGCGCCCTTTGCCAGCAGGAAGTAGTTAAAGAGAGAAATCTTCGCCCCTTTTCATAATAATAACCATAAGACGGGATATGAAAGGTTTTGGCCCAGGCAGGACACTGTAGCCAGGAAAGCCACAACCGGAAGCAGAAAGCCCCATCTTGCCCTGCCCCTAGGAAGTTACCTGTGACGCCATCTTCCCGCCCCTGGGAATTTACATATGGCGCCAAACCTAGGACCAATGGGCTACCTGTGTATCCCTAATGCCCGCCTTAGGTTCCACCCCAAACCGAGGCTATTTACAGGCCCCCACGCCGCGTGTCCGCCGGAGAGATCGCCGGACGCCAGCGGTGGGGGTTGCCGGTCATCTCTCTCCGTGTTCTCAGAATAAAGGCCGCTTTTTTATTTTATATTTCTCATCTTTTGTTAATATTTTTCATCTTTTGGAAATAACTCTATCACTCTCTAAGGATGCTTATGGTGGAGGACAGAAGGCAACTGGGGGACTGTAGCATTAAGACATAAGACATCCTGGGGCATGTGGCAACTGGAGCAATGGATTAGATGTGTGCAATTGGTGGGATCTTAAAAATGTAATACAGAATAAAAAGTAAGCAAAGAAGCAGATGAGACCTATAATATAGAAGCATTTAGGTTAGGTAGAAACACACACACAAAACAACCATGTACATTTTGTAAAAATGTATGCAAAGGGTATTACATTAAATGAACCAAAATAGATGGGGGGGGGGGGAGAGAATAGGATTGGGAGTGAAAGGAAACAAATATATTAGCAAACATTAATGAACCATCATCCAAGGAATTCTCTAAGAGTGAACTACAGAGTTCAAATCCAGTTTCTCTGGGATTTGAACATCAGATCCTCCAGCTTCGAAAGAGTAATGGTGGTTCCTTCTTGGGCATGCACAGAACAAGGATTTGCCTGTTACTGGGCTCATCTATCCTCTCAAGTTCTCTATCTTTCTCTAGCTTGTCTCTCATCATTAATCTCTTTGATGGTGGTTTTATTTTTATCTTCTTTGAGCCTAAATCAGGTTTCTCAGTCTTGGTATTTTGGGCCAGATAATTATGATGTCTCACTTGTGTGCTGTAGAACGTTCAGCAGTGTTCCTACCCTACCCACCAGATGTCGCTAACACCCCCAGTGTGACACCCAAAAATGTTTCCAGACATTGCCAAATGGATGCAGCATGCAAAGTCATGTCTTGTTGAGAACCACTGGCCCAAAGAACCTGGAAAACACCAGCATCTCTGCACAAAATCTATTCTGGGTTCCTATTTGTTTTCAAGATACAAGACACAAACTTTCCTTTGCTGACTGTTAGGCAGATGTTTAAAACTATTGGTGTCTACGAGGGAAGAGGTCCCAAAACGAAGTGCGGTGGAGGAAAAGAAAACGAGACAGACAAAAATTATGGGACCGGAGTTGGGGTAAGGCCTACAATCACCAGGACTGAAGCCCCAGTTACAATTTTCTCTGACTTTTTATTGGAGTCTTTTCTTTAACAAAGAGCTGAAGTGGGGTGTGAGATGGGTAAAGTGTAGGTAAGTAAGAACTTAATTGTTTAACTATTCCAAGGATCATCTCTGGCTATACTTGGCCTTCATGTTTACTGTTCTTTTGGACACATCTTAGCAAAGATTCTCATGCTGTCCCAGCAGCATTCCACTGAGGTTAAGGTTCTGCATTCATTTCCTTAAACACAATGCATCTGTAAGATTTCTTCCAGCCTAGTAGAGCACAAAGTCCCTGTGGTCACCTAAGTGTAAACTGGTTTAAGTTAATCTATGACCCACATAAAACTTTTCTTAAAAACCAAACAAAGCAAACACTTAAGCTCTACTCCCCCCCCCCACCTAGTCTAAACTAATTGAGTATTTGGGCAAATGTGGTATTCAGGTCCCTGTTTTGTAGAGAAATTGTTTTGCTTTCTATTTGCTGAAGCTAATGAAGCTCTGATTGCATATGCAGAGATGCTTAAGGGAAAGTTTAGAGCTAAGTGAATGGTTGTTGGGTTTGTGTCTTCCAAGTTTTTCCTATGAGTTGGAATCCTTCTTCTGAGTCTTGAAAGATTTACAGTTAGAGAACAATCCTGTATTCTTGAATTGGGTCTTTCAACTCAGTTTTTCCATATCACTGGAAAAGACTGTCATAAAAATTAGAGGTCATGGCAAACATGAGGTTAAGTTCAATCCCCAGTACCAAAAACAAAACAAAACAAAAATTAGGAGTTAAAGAACTAAGAAAAACAAAAATGCAAAAGGATTGAAGCTCTACCTGCTATATTTCAATAAGACAAAATGAGAGAGTCCTTGGTTATTTCTATCAACAGTACAGATTATCAGAATATGTTGGTCATGTGTGATTGTAAAGAGGGAAGGGCAGTTCTAATTTGCTGTTGATTAGGAGTTTTACATTTGTAAGTATTATTCCTAATTAGTTGGTATGGGACCAGGTTTAGAGAAATTAAATACTCTGGGGTTCCCTAACCTTGAACCAAGGGTTCTAAATTTTCTGTATTTATAGTAGAAAAACACGATTTTCTTTGGTTCTATATTTTAATTGAGGAGGTTGGTACACACCGTGGGTTAGGGGATTAATTAACTCACCCATTGCTATGGTGATGAGGCCTGGGATCCTGTGGGGAGTAGGAATTACGAAAAATGCCAGAGAGAAGAAAGATGTGAAAGTTGAGAAGAAAGAAACCCAAAGAGAAAATTTATTCAAGTTGAATAAATTTGAAGCTTTATCTATGAATGTTAGAAGCAAAGCTTTGTGGATGTTCAGGGGATCCTGATGCACCAAGTACCACAGCGGGGAAGAGAAGTTCATGGTGGACCCACAGGGGCACCGATCTCAGTTGTGCCTGTTATGTGCCTTTTCACATCCGCTGTCTAAAATGCCTCTTGATGGCTCAGTTAAATGATCCAGAAAGGGCCCATTTTACAGATGGAAATATGAAATCCAGGGGACAGTGGTTTGTTCAAGTCTCTAAGTTTTTCAAAAGGGAATTTGTATGTTGTATTTTGTAGTGCTTACTCCATAACTGTCTGCCTGGGCTCACCATACCCTCAGGGAGCAGATTTCATGATAGTTTTCTGAGAAATTATTAAAGATTGAATCAGTTTCTTGGGAGAAGTAAGCCAGAGGGGGAAAAAACTGAAGAAGAAGCGGTAAATGTGAGCCTTTTTTTTTTCTTTTTCTTTTGGCAGTGCTGGGGATGGAAACCAACACCTCACATGTCAGACAAGCACTCTAACCCTGAGCTGCACTCCCAGGCCCTACATGAGTATTTTCTTTACCCAAATGACAAATTTTACATTTCTTTGTTCCATATAAAATCTGTTTACTGCAGCTTAAATGAATAGGCTGCAACCAGGCCTATACGGAAGTGACGAGCCAAGAATAAGACGAAATAATGAAAGAAAAGATGGGAGAGCAGCCATCTTTGTTTTGCCAGGAGTCAGTCACTGCTACGTTCTTGGGGGCCAACAAAGAAGTTACTGGGTCTTTGCATTACTGAACTTGGACCCCACCATCAGGCAGAGCTGCCTTGGGAGAACAGAAAGAGAAGGCAACAAAGGGACATGGCCTCCGCCCACGGTCTGGCTTGCAGATTACACTTAATGCAGAACAAAGCTGAGCCTCTTAGAAAGGCCAAGCGGCCAGGCTGCCAGGCCATGGACCCTCATCCATGTGGGAGAAAGTTCCAGAGCTCACGAAAACAAGGGTTAGGCAGGCTATGAAAATCAGGCACATGAGAAGAAATCCTTTTGTTTTTGCAGCTTTGGTTTGTGTTGAGTAAAAACTCATTTTAGAATGAGTGGAGAATTTCTTCATCTGTGCTGAGTAATTGCAGGATTAAGTTTATAGCTAATTTCCACCAGATGGGCTCATAGAACAAATCAGAATTCAGTTTTCAGTTCAAGAAGAGAATGGGAGGCCACTCCAAATCCTGAAGAAATGCTGAGGAAATTAATTCTCTGGATAAAGGTGTAGAAGGGATGGATGGAAGCAGAAATAAATGAGCACTCACCTACACAAAATGTGTTATTGGACTTCTAGATAATTTATCTCATTTGACTTAGGAACGCAAATTGATTATGTAGACAAGCTAATTATGACACTATACCTCAGGAGGAGTCAGGTAAGGGACAGGAGAACCTTGCCAACTTTCTTCTGTCATGAAAAGTAAAGAAGACAGCTATAGCTCTCTGTAAATGCATGAAAGATGTAGGTGGGGTTAGGGGATTTAGCTCAGTGGCATAAGCACCTGCCTTTCAAGCAGGCAGTCATGAGTTCGATCCCTGGTACTGATAAAAAGTTAAAAAAAAAAAAAAAAAGAAAGATGTAGGTGGGCTAAAGTAGGTATCACAAAGAGAGGCCTCTAAAGCTGGATTATGGGCCTGTGATTTGGGCATGATTTCCTCGGAGCATTCTCCAGAATCCTGGGAGATTTCTAGCAGATTCAGGGCCTCATGGATAGTTCAGAGCGGTGAAGAGGATCAGTTGTTAAGAGTGTGGGTTCTTGAGCTAGATGAGACTGAGCATGTGATTTTAGATAAATTCTTTCTTCAATACTTTTATTTTCTTCATCTTTAAAATGAGGTAAAGCTGGGCATTGTGGTGCGTATCTGTAACCCTAGCACTTAGGAGGCTGAGGCAGGAGGATCATGAGTTCAAGGCCAGCTTGGGCTACACAGTGAGTTCTAGGCCAGACTGAAGTGAGACCTTGCCTCAGAAAAGGGGTTGGGGGCAATTATGACTGTCATAGGATTCCTATAGGATCAGTGAGATCATCTGTTATTTTACGTGCATCTGCATGGAACATTGTGAGGACTCAATGAATGATAGTGACCAGGGTTATTTTATTTCTTAAGCCATATACAGCCAAGTCATCAGATGGCGAATGGACAGAGTGCCACGTACAAGGAAAGGCCTTACAGACTTAGGAGCTCACAATAAATAACCACTCTAAGAGCTCCTGGAAGGCGTTAGTCAAAACCCAATTCCCGTTATGCAGGCCCGGACACCATCTCCAATAGTCTATCTCATTCCAAACAACCCAACAGACACAGTAGCTGGTCCCATGTTGTGACACAATTGAGATTTCTGTTTCAGAGTTCAAGCCAGGCTGATTTAAGCCATGTTATTCTTTGGTTCCACGGCATTTGGTTAGGCAATCTTCACATCCTTTAAGCCTCAGTTTTCTCCAGGGTCCCAGAGCAAGAGCGGAATCAGAGTGCAGCAGCAATGGTTTTGAGTGGCAGATACACTAACCTGGCCCCCTCGGAGGCTGGATGTGGGTGAGCCTGTATTGTTGACCTATTTGATTATCTGATGGGAGGCTTTGTCAGAGCCTCCTATTTGGAATACCGTAGCCAGAAGCTATGGAGTCAGGTAAGAAGCAAGCTGCAGATTAGGCAAGAGAAAATTAACCTGGAAGGTGAGTCAGATTGTAGTAACTAGAGAATAAGCACGACTGGAGAGAAGAAGGCAAAAAACATGAGCAAATAAAGATGGAAGAGAGGAAAATGAAGATTTGGAAATGAAAGGGAAAATTGGAAAGAAGTGGAGCTTTCTGATGCTGATGAAGCTAAGAATTTGAAAATGGTGATAAAGTTATAGAAAAACTGTGAGATGGTTAGAACATCTCAAAGAATTATAAGTAGAAAAGGGCCTTTGGGGGGGCACTGTGTTATTCATGTCCTATCTTTATAGTTAAAGAAGAAAGGAAAAAGTAAAATCAAAAAAGAAAATAGAGAATCCTTGTGTTTGGGTCTTTGTGTCTAGAGGATTAGATTATGATACATAAGGCCCTTTCCATAACTAATAATATATGAATTTACAAGTCAGATTTATTTATATAAGATATTCCTTATTAGGTTACGATACCTCATTGTGATCTGTATAATTTCTGTGAAAGCCACATTATTATGGATGATGCAAATGAATGTGTCTGATTTTCAAAGTTTTCAAGATCTATTAATGCCCTTTGCATTTCTAAGTAGCTTATACAGTGGGATCATGTTCTCCAAAAAGCTAACCAGCCTCTGGGATTAATGAGGAGCCTTTGGCAAAGTGGAATCTGGGCTAGAACCTGGTCTGAGAGCTTTGTGGCATTCCTTTGGGAGATTCCTCTGTCTGCTCATTGTTAAATTCTATGATATCTGTCTCTTTGGTGTCCAGGTTTTCCATTAAGTACAGCACATCAAGAGAGACCCGAGAGCCAGTTTCATTGCTGGTAGCACTAGGTTCTGAGGATGTCTGTGTTTCAAGTAAGAGAAGCGGCCCAGGGCTCATGGGATCTGGACTTAGATTCCCCAGAGAGGTGTGACTGGGCTTCTGAAACTGTGGGAGGCTCCACCTTTTTAGGAATCTCTCATCTTCCAGGTCCTCCTCAAAGTTGAACACTCTGGTTGAAGCAGGCTGGGGAGCAGGGCTCCCAGGAGTTGGTGTCCCCTCTTCTGAGGGGGACAGGAGTAATTCTACAGGGCCCTCCTGCTGCCCTGTCCTGTTTGACTCGACCCCAGTAAACTCCAAGCTGGTGATAGAGGTAGTGGAATCATGGTGATGGGCATCTGATGAGGGCCCTGAAGCTTCAGCCGCTGTGATCAACACCTCAGGCACCTGGGGCATTTTGGTGGGGGAGGCTTTCACACTGGATTGTGGGGTCACGCTCTGGAGGGTGCTTGTCCTGCTGGTCTCCCTGATTGTGGACAGTTCTCCCATGCTGGAATGCAGCTTGGGGCTGTCCTCCAGGGAACCAGATGGCTTTCGGCTATGTGAGGCTCTGGGGCCACTTCTGGAGGGCACCTGCAGCAGATCCTGGGTTGGGCTGATGGTGAAGAGCGTGGAGCTGTCGCTGGCCTGCCTCCGGAAGCTTCTCTTGGGGCTGGTGGGATGCTCATGGGTACTCAGGAACCTCTTGACTCTTCTTATCATGGAGCGCCGATGGCCGTGCTTCTGAAAATCCCACATCCACTCCTCACTGGGGAGGTCGGACTCGGACAGCCTGAAACACACAATGACAAAAAGACAGGGAAAGTAGCTTTGGGGGTTGACTCTGGTTGCAGAGTCTCACAGTTGAGAGATGAGTTTTGTATTTTTGCTTTACAGATTTTGAATTGGAGGCAAGGGGATTTAACTTGAGATAGTAGGAGTTTGCAATAGTTTAGTAGGATCCTTTTAAACTCTTAAAATTGTTGCATACCTCAGACATCTATTTATTTGGGCTATATCTATTGCTTATTACAGTTGCAATTATAACAATTTTAAAACACGAGAATGTATATCTACTTGCTCCATTAACAAGTGATGATGTCATTACATATCTGGTAGCTTCTGGAATGTTCTGTAATGCATTAGATCCCCTTTAATTGTGGGATAAACATTCCAGGACACCCAGCAGATGCCTGAAACCACAGATAATGCTAAACCATGTACAGTACTTTTCTATTTTAACTGTTAGTCACACACAGACTGTAACTTTCACGGTTTGAGTTGTGACAGCAAAACTTGTGTGGAATTCTCACAATTTCATGGTTATAAAATTCATTCTTTTTGTAGATCTTTACAACTTCAGCATTGGAGGCACTTTATAGCTTCCTTTTGACTTATCTGAATTGTCACCAATACTTCTCCTGTGCTCTGGGGAAGTTATTAAGCACAATAAAGTTGCTTGACTGTGATAGTCAATCTGAAAGCTGAGTTGTCTACTAAGTGATAAAGGGCAGACAATGTACACAGCTCAGATACACAAAGCAAAGGCATATTTCACGTTCTATGAAATAGGGAGATGGTTTGAAATTTCATTCATTATTCAGAATGGAATGCAATTCAATTGCAGTGAGTTGTTTATTCTGGAAACTTTCATTTAATATTTTTGATATAAAGGAAAAAGTTTTGGATTGTGGTGACTGTGGATCACTGAGACATTGAAAGTGAGGCAATGACTAAAAGGGATTTTTAAACACAAAAGAATGAGAATGAAAAGAGGTATTGGTTTAGTGTCACTATGAAAATAGTTTTGATCTTGAGGCGTCTCTAAATAGGCCTTTGGTTCCCTAGCTATCCCCAGACCCTACTTTGAGAATCACTGACATGGAGTCTTGAACATTAAATTATGCATATTTTATAAAGTATATATTCTTTCTCCTTTATTACAGTTAAAATGAGATCCTGTTTCTCCAGTGTCCATAACTCTCCTTCTCCCCAACAAACAATGAATCATAGCTAAATTTAAGAGTACAAATAACAGCTAACATTCATTTGATTATCTTGATATTATTATTCACACTTTACAGAGAAAGAAGCTGAGGCCCAGAGAGATTAATTAGGCTTAAGTAGCCAGTGAGAGCCAAACTCCTGGGTCAGATCTCAGAGCCTTTGATCTTTACTTCTAGGATAAAAGCCTGCCACACAGGTGTCAAGAGATGAGCTCTAGCCCAGGGCAGACTAATGGGTAAAACTAATGATTCTTTTTCCACAGGTGATTTCCGGTGAACACCCTGCATTTCTGTCTGTTTCGTGAGTTAAGAAAAGAGAACCACATTGTGATTGGGCTCCCTTGTGAGTAAGTCTCATGGATTCAGTATGGCTAAAAATTTCCTGTTGAATTTTAACATTTGAAAAATAAAACAAATAATCCTACCATATTTAATTTCCTTTAAGGCCGAAATAAAGTGAGTAACTCAGGTAGTCATAAGACCGCCTGGTGGTAAGGTCTTGCCTCAGATTACGTGGGTTGGCTCATATTTCTGAGGATTTACAGTCTTCATGGGGTTTGAAGAACTCCTTAAAGCCTTGCCTTTACACAAAAAAATGCACCAGGAATCACACACCTAGCATCGGTATTCACAAACACAGTAACAAGATGCTTCATGCCAGGTGCATTTTATGTGGCGTGCGGGGAAGAGGTGGTACAGTAAATTGGAGGTGTAACCTGAAAAGGCAAAGGGAGCAGCCAAAGAAACGTGTTTCTGTGTTTATGAATAAGAGATGAAGACTGAGAGGACTGGCTGGCTCAGTGTGCCAGACAGGGTTGCATTACAGCCTTGCGCTGTTATTCTGAAGCCCCAGCTGTGCCCTTGGCTTCCACGCAGCCTTCTGACCCGCCCTCGCGCTGTGCAAAGTCAGCTTCTGTTACTGACTCTGAAATGCAGACTCATGCTTCAGCGGCCCCAGTGACCCCGCTGGTTGGATTTCATGAGGTCAGGTCTCCAGTCACACTTCACAGGAGTCTATTTAGCTAGCGTGGACACCAGGGGAAGAACGAATGGAGTCAGTGTGGTCTGGGACTGAGGTTGAGCTGGCAGTGCTCTTTATAGGACAGGCACTTGACCTCCATTCAGGATCTTGACTATTTATTTGAATTCCTTAACTATGTCTAAAGCACACAACCTTATAAGAACGATACACTCTTCGAGGAAAAAATCTTTGTATTTTTACTTTAAAATTTTGTAGAAAAAACCCCCACGTGATTCAAAAGGAAACACTTTGCAAACTATGCAGAAGTGCGATGAATACACACATTCAATATGGTGCAGGAGGAAGCCACTAAGTCATAGGACAGAAAAGAAATGGATATGTTTAGAGAGCCAACTGCAAAAGGGTTAGTGTTTTTTGCTAACATCCTTCTGACTGACATTGAGTAGATCTATCAAGGACCCTAATGCACCTTCTACTTCATTTAGACTCATGGAATTTATTTGCTTATGCACTCAGCAAATATATTGAACATCTACCATGAACAAACTGTTGTATTAGGAACATTATTTTTAATTTAAAAGGATCAAGAGGGCATCTATCTATCTATCATCTATATCTATCAATCTATCATCTATCTATCTATCTATCTATGTATCATCTATCTATCTAAAATTAACTTTTTGAGCTGCGTTTGCCACTACATGAGAATTGGGTGGAAAGGACAGGACATTTCATGTGGAAGAAGTACCTTGAACAATGAGGCAGCAGGAATTAGAATGCTTCTCAGGAACAAGAAACGTTTGAGTTGGCATAAAGCATACAGGATAGTGTCAGGCATAGACTGCAAAGATGTTTGGGAGTGTGTTATGAAGAATCTTATCCTGTGCAGAAGGCCTGGGACTTCATCGTAGAGGCCCTGGGCAGCTGTGGCTTGTCTTGGAGGCAGTGGGCATAGGCAGGTATTACAGTTCAAGCTGGAAAGCAACACTAATGAATGCTTAGAGTAGGAAACATGATTTGAAAACTTTCCCACCTTTAGCCTGAAACTGGGTGGTCTGAAGGACATTTTATTTTTTATGCATTTCATGACGAAATGATGAGTGTCCTCCAGCTCTTTATTCCATGAAGGAGCAGTAGTAGAATGCCTCAGCATGATGGACCAAATGACCTTTCTTCCAAGCAAAGTGCTTCCAGTGGAAAATTTCACCGCTAGCACACAATGCCCACCACTTTCTTTCCTTAAAAGTCATACTTTGCAGTATGATTGTGTTCTCACTATGGAGAAAATTGTGGTTTAAGAACAAAATGATTTAAACCTTAGAGCATGCAGAATAGGATACATTAAAAAGGCTTCAATTCCTAGTTGGGTAGCTTTGGTGTACCGTTTAGGTCCTTTTATGCTTTATGTTCCTCTCTTTTTGATTTTAAAATGTATTCTTAGTATAAGGTTAGTATTCTATGACCCTAAATGTCACTTAGACAGTCCTAGCAGAAACCCTATATGACAGAACATAAGCACCCTCATTATATTACTGTACATTAGAGATGGTCAGCTGAAAAAGTGAGGTTTTATATTTTAAAACTCGTTTGGACTGAGCTGGACAGGTAATTGGAGATACAGAAAGTGTTGTACAGCCATCAGTTTCCAGAGATGCAATTGGAGAACTGTTTCTGATGTGGACAAATGATTCATTTTGAGAGCTTGCTGAGCTAGGATTGCTGCTGCTCAGGCTGACACTGGCTGTGTGACCTTGAGAGACTCCCAAAACCTTTCTGTGACAGCGCTGCTCTTGGTTAACTAGTGAAAATAATAATTTATCTGCTTTCCAGGTTGTTTGGGTACACAAAAGGGATAATACTTGCCAAAAAGCTTTGAAGAGTGGGTGATATGACAAGGACTCTATCAGTGACCGAAGAAGTTTCAGAAGTGCTTTCCAAACCATGACTGCCTTCTTGTAAGGTTGGAGGGAATGATAGTGTCTATGTAAAAATGAGGCTGCACCTTGGAGCTACCAAGGACTGCACCTTGGACTTAGGATCCATTTGCTGCTAAGAGTGGGATACTTGGGCAACAGAAAAAATGTGGAAGAAGTTGGGTTATTTGAGGGAAGGAAGACAAGGCTGACTAAATGGTCAGAGTATGGAGTCAGGATTGTCCTGACCTTACCTTGCCTCTTTTTTTTTGTCTTTTTCCTTTTTTTTGGTACCGGGGATCGAACTCACGACTGCCTGCTTGCAAGGCAGGCGCTTATGCCGCTGAGCTAAATCCCCAGCCCCTTACCTTGCCTCTTGATGCAGGTATTTTTTTGTTTCATTGCCAGAAATTACCAACCCTGTTACATACATTTATTGCTTAATGTAAATCATCAATACAAAATACAGAACACATGGGGATGAGAAAGGTTGTGCCAGATGCTGGGTTATTTTTGAAAGAGAACAGGAGGACAGGAGAAAGAGAAAGAGAAAGAGAAAGAGAGAGAGAGAGAGAGAGAGAGAGAGAGAGAGAGAGAGAGGAAGAGGAAGAGGAAGAGGAAGAGGAAGAGGAAGAGGAAGAGGAAGAGAAAGAGAAAGAGAAAGAGAAAGAGAAAGAGAAAGAGAAAGAAAGGCTATGTTGGGCCAGCCAAGCCTCCTGCTTATAGTTCAGTCTGGAAGAAAGGCAAGTCTGAATTATTTCTCCAGGGCAGACAGATGTCTAGATAGGCATTATTTTCACCTCTAATGTAAAAAAACAACAACAACAACAAAAAAACCCCCCCAAAAACCCCCCAACATTTCAAAACCTTTATGAAGCACCTACAAAACCAT